TCTTTGATTGCTTCTCAAGAATCTTCCCACTCCAAACTCTGATGTGGCAAAAAACCACCCACCGTCCCCTTCAGAGGACTTACTTTACTTTGTATAGCCAAATGGTTCTAAGAATGGCTAAATCTTTAGAGCTTGCGGTAGAAGAACCTCTGCCTCAAAAGCAAGATTTAGTCTTTGATGATACAAATCAAGATAAAGTGCCTTCGTTAAGTCTTGCCTTTATTCCAGCAATGCTTGATCTCGTAAAAGATTGTATTGGACTTTCATTTAAACCAACCATTAATCTTACCTTCACTTTTTTCATCTCCTCAAACTAATGCTGAGCACATGCTCCATATGCTCGATGTCAGGTGCTCCTTAGCTTTTTACCTTGACAGGACTCGATCTCTTAGAAAAACTCCATGACTTTTCATATGTTTTCATGGCCCTCATAAGGGCTCAGCACCATCCTCACAAACTCTATCTAGGTGGATTGTCCAGAGAATCACTCTGGCTTATGAGCTATCAGGCAAATCAGCTCCAGATGCTCTTCGCGCACACTCCGCCAGAGCTCTTTCGACTTCAACTGCCTTTCAACGTGGCGTTGACCTTTCTCACGTCTGCTGTGCTGCCACTTCGTCCACCCCGTTGACCTTTGCCTCGTATTACGGGATAGATGTTCGAGCAAAGAGTGATGCATCCTTCAGCCGAGCTGTCCTAACCGCCGTACTTCAGTGACATCCCAGCAACCAATACGTGAGCTTGATAGTCACCCATTAGTGTGCATTCACAGAGACCACGAAGAAGAAAAAGAGGTTACCTACCTGTAACCAGGGTTCTTTGAGTAGTCCTCTGTGAACCTGCACATCCCGCCCGTCCTCCCCGCTGTTCGTCACTTGTCGCCTACAATTACCTCTGACAGTGGTGGACTTTTGGGAACTGAGAAGGTCTCTGACGGGCAGAGCATGCACTCCACGGGGGAACGTCCCACTAATCACATGTTTTTGAGCTCTAGAAACTTCTGAGAGGTTCTGTGCAGGCACAGTAATAACCCAATTGTGTGGATTCACAGAGGGCCACTTGAAGAACTATGGTTACAGGTAGGTAACCTCTTTCTTCCGAGCTTCAGAAGGGTCAGTTTTTCCATTTCACTGCCTGCGGACAAGTTAAGAGAGCAGCGGTCCATCCGGGTGATGTCGTGAGGCAGGGCAGCTGCTACAGCTTTGATGAAAAATCAAAAGGCTCCATTCTTTTAGGGAACTGGTAAGGGCAACAGGACTGGCTTTTTAGCAGATGTGTTTCGGAGAAGCTCAGCCGGGGTCTCAAAAGGACGGCAGAATGTTTTTGAATTTTCCTACCTACTTAAAGAAAGAACAAAGAATAGGCTACCTGATGCCATGACACCTGTCTAAGTTCAGCAGAATTTATTTCATAGAGTCCCCACCCTTTTCTCCCTTATCTTTCCTCCCATTGCTTGATTGAATCATAGAATCCTAGAAAAGTGAAGTTGGAAGGGGCCTACAAGGCCATCAAATCCAACCCCCTGCTCAAGGCAGGAATACAATCAAAGCATATCTGCCAGGTGATGATCTTAAGTTTTTCTTGAATGGCTCCAGGGCTGGAGGGCTTGCCATCTCCCGAGGTAACCAGTTCCATTGTTGTACTGCTCTAACAGTTAGGAAGTTTTTTCCTGAGATTCAACCGAAATCTGGCTTCCCTTAACTTGAGCCCGTTGTTGCATGTTCTGCACTCTGGGATGACCAAGAACAGATCCTGCCCCTCCTCTGTCTGACAGTGTCTAAAACAGATTGAAACGAAATTGTCCTTTGTTTCAGAGCCTGGAATTTCGGAGAAAGAAGAGATCTGGTAGTAGACAGAGGCAACGGTATTTGTTACCTGGCAGTGGGTTTGAATGTTCTCATCAGCATATGAGAAAGGTGCAGAGTAGCAATAACTCCAGAACCATCCAAAACAACCTGTTTTGGTCCTTTATTGTTGGTAATGCCCTGATGCAGACCTCCTCGGGCATATAGCCATCGATTGCTTTTGCACAGCTATGCACAAAGATTCCTTTTCATCTGCCAAAAACTGCCTGCAGGCGTGGAGGGCCATGGCTGTAACGTCATTCAGTTGGTAGATTTGCTGTGTGATTCACTTTGAACTTTACACAGTCTAGTTAAAAGTGCCGAAACCTGCCCACCCACCCCCTCCTGCAAAATAGGTCCAGCCCCTTGAATTGTTCATTTAAAGATGGGAATCCTATCCAAAAGGAATGCAGTGTCCCTGCTAATCCTGGACCTGCCAGCTGTGGGTGAAGGGGGGGCTGGGCTGGATTTAGAAAGTAGATAAAGTTCCCTACTAGTCCAGATGTGTTTTTTGGGGATGCTCTTCTCTTTTTTAATTTAAGCCTTATTACCTTCACCAGCAAAGAGAAAAGTAAAATTTGCATGGGATGGTCTGGAGCTGAATGACCTAGCAGCTGCTTTGCATTTTGTTGGCACAGGATTCAAACTATGGAGGTGGCAGGTAAGGTTTGGAAAACGTTTCCTGAAACCTTGGAGATACACCAGAAATCTGTCTTGACATACAGCAGCTTCCTCTGGTTTTCATGCTCTTTATGTCAGTTTGACTCATTTAGAGCTGGTCCCGTTAACTTCATGAGATGAAACCTTTATTGCCTGATCTTCTAGTTTGGCTCGTGTCATGTTCGTCAAAACATTTTGATCCAGCGATGAATCAAAACTGAGCTGGTACAATTTGACCTCTTAAAAGACCCGGTATTTGCCGTACAAACGCCATCGTGTCCAAGCTGTCTATAAATGTCATGCCCAAGTCAGCATATAATTACACTTGTAGGATGGGCAACCTGCCATTTAAATGATGCGAAAGCAGCTTTTCACGCCCTAGCGCGGTCCGTCTAGAGTTTTCTTGTGTAGTAGTAGCAGCCCAATTATTTTCAGAAGTGTTTCTCCCCAATGGTCACGGGCACATATATGTTCGTTTTATTGCAAGAAGGGAGAGGGGACAAGGTAGAGTAAGCCGTACTGCCACCCTTAATGAATTTTATTGAGCATTTGTTAGGCCCGCATGAGACAAGCTTGCTGCATTTCTGCCTAAAATTTCTAGGAATATATGCACAAACCCAGAGAAGGTTTTCTTGCTTTAAATAAACAAAGAGGCTTGAGTTGTTGTTTTCTGCTGTCAGTTCATCTCCAACTCTTTTGAATGAGAGATCTCCAGTATATCATGCCCTCAGCCAACCCTGTTTGGCTCTTGCAGCCTGGAGCCGGTGGGTTTCTATAGGAAGTCAATCCGCTTTGTATTTGATCTTCTTCTCCTGCTACCTTCCACCTTTCCCAGCATGATCGTCTTTTCCAGGAAATCCCGCCTTCTCGTGATGTGTTCAAAGTAGAATATCCTCAGCTTCACAGTTTTGGCCTCCAGAGATTGTTTAGGCTGGATTTGATCTAGGACCCCCCTCGTTTGTCTTGCTAGCAGTCCAGGGTATCTGCAAAGCTCTCGCTCAGCACTACATTTCAAATGAATCTGTTTTTCCCCCCATTAGCTTTCTTTACTGTGCAGTTTTCACACCCAAACATGGTGATTGGAAATACAAGAGTATAGATGATCCTGGCCTCCAGTGACACATCCTTACACTTGAGTGGAGTAAAAACAATGCTTATTTTTGAGAAAGTAGTGATGTGCTATGCTTCTTAAAGATAGACACAGCCAACAAGAAGACTACAGATATAGGTTTGCCTCAATCTAAGGAGTTATTAGAAATTATGTTCTGCTAAAAATGCAAAAGAACCCAATGGTGTGAAGGAGCAGGTTCTAGAGTGGTGTAGACCAGCGGTCCCCAACCTTGGGCCTCCAGATGTTCTTGGACTTCAGCTCCGAGAAATTCTGGCCAGCAGAGGTGGTGGTGAAGGATTCTGGGAGTTGTAGTCCAAGAAGATCTGGAGGCTCAAGGTTGGGGACCACTGATGTAGACAGTCTGAAGAAGAAGGAGGTCCCCATCGGAAGTCATCATCTTTTCCCCAAGGTAGCTGTGGGATCCAGATTCACCTTACAAACATCATCTTTGGATTATTTGTTGGGGTTGTAATTTTTGATTTTTGTTTATGATTGTTATTTATTATAGGTTTTTTTCCTTTGGATTTCGAGGAGTGGTCCAAGAAAGCTTATATTTACTGTATAATCACCCAGAATAGTGCATGTTACTTAGTAGGGCAGTATAAAGATGGATGGATGGATGGACGAATGAATGAATGAACAGATGGATGGATGGACGAATGAATGAATGAACGGACGGACGGACGGACGGATGGATGGATGGATGGATGGATGGATGAGTCAGTGGATGGATGGATGGGATGGATGGGTCAGTGGATGGATGGATGGATGTTCTGTGTTGTCAAGTCAGAACCAACTTATAGTGACCCTGATAGAGCTTTCAAGGTAAGTGAGATATTTAAGGAGTGGTTTTACTCCAGTGAGTTTCCGTGGCTGGGTGGGGATTCGGACCCTGGTCTCCAGAGTCCTAGAAATATAGACTGAATCAGGGTTGTATGTGTCTTATAACAAACCTTCTAAGGTGGTATGTTTCCAGTCTGTGGCCCCCTTCAAATGTGCCAGCCCCCTGGAGAATGGCTGAGCTAGAGATTAAAGTAAAACCTGAGGCTCAAGAATGCTTCTAGAATGCTCTTTCAGAACTAACTAGAAAATACTGCTTGTTTATATACACAGGTGCACTCCAGATTTGTGAAATGTAGCTTTGTTATCCCGTAGGTGGCAGATTTTTAAAAAAATTAAAACAGCAACTCCTTGCAAGTAAGGTGTGTTATCTGTCCTGGTTATCCTCGGTACCCCTGCTTTGGTCCTCTGCCTCCGTTTCAAATGAGATGGTGTTTGTGTGTTAAACACAGAAGCCCATCAGGCGATAGTTCAGCAGCTGGTTCTTTATTCCTATTACCTCTTGCCTTACTGCAATTGTAACTCTTTCCTTTCCTTTTTAGCAGAAAGTGAGAGCGCTGGCTGCGTTTTATTACACACATCAAGAAAAGTAAGTACCACTACGTGTCGTTTTCTTTTCCGTTAGTAAATTTGATTCTGCAAAGACATTTTGCAGAATATGAGCTTATTTTGTCAACTTCTGTGCAGGGTAGATGGACTGAGTGTTATCGTCCTGCGTTGAAGTCTCTTTTTTTACTTAAATTTCTGAAGTTATCCATTGTGGCCTACGTGAGGAGGTGACTATGTATGTAGCGAAGCCCAGGACACGGCAGAATTACCTCCAGATCCCATGGAGAGAACAGGAGAGAAGGTTATTCTGGGAAAGTATTTCTTCCCTTCAGTGGTTCGTGGCAGTTTGTTTATCCGGCTCACCCCACTCCCTCCGGTGGGCACTAACTCTGAGCGGGCACTCACCAGAGAGGGTGAAGCACCAAACAGTGTAATACCTGTGAGACCGGTAAACAAACCAGCAAGAATTGCCGAACCGGTGGTGCGTGCCCATCTCTAAGTGCACTGGAAAGTCATGCCGTAAGATATAGTTTAGCCGGCTGTTAGAAACAGAAAGCACGAGAGTGTGTTAGTAACACTTTTCCTTCAAAGCTTCTTTCCAAAGCCGTCAGACTGGCAAATGAAGCCCACGTGCCCTTCCTAGTGGCCAGCTCCAGAGCAAAGCAAGCTGGGATGTGAGAAAAGGCTCGTGCGATGACCATCAGAGGTCTGCTTAAAGCAGCCCCGCTTCCAATGCCATGCTGCTTGCTGTTTTATCTTGTTCCAGCCATTATTACCGCTCTCGAGTCAAGAGCACTCAAGCTACATCCTGACAGGTCTATACTGGAAGAGCAGATCTTTCTTTATGGGTCCCTATAGCTTCGCTCTACTAACCTTTGCCCTCTTAAGCCTGCCATGAATAATGCAGTGATTGCCGTATACTGATTGTCAAGGAAAGTTAAATTTCCTCTTTTGGAAAGGCTGGTGCCAGCTTTCCAGTCTGGCAAATTAGAAGCTGGTTTTTCCTAAATGTTTTCTGCTGAAACGCTCCCACGTAGCCCTTGTTATGGAATCGGAGAATGCCTTTGATATATAATGTTTTAATGTATTAATGTTTCCCAAACCCTTCCTTCCATCACCGGTCATGGCAGTAATGCACAAAGAATGTGCAAAATCCCATTCATACATCCCCTTGATTGGCATCGTTAGTCGGGTGTGGAGGACGTGATCCCTGGTTCCGACTCACATAGAGGTCTTGCTCTTTTTTCCTCAAGGGTGGAGTGGACCAATTAACTTGGCCGGCAGGGCGAGAGAGAATTCTCATGCAAGCCCTGTGATGTTCGGGTGTGGCAACCCTTGCTCAAGGGTAGATGGGCTAATTGCTTGGCCCTGCCAGAGCCCCTGTCCGATTCCAGTTTTACAAAGAAGGAACTGAGGCAGACAGACGAGGACCTGCTTTGAGCCCTCTAAAGCCAGCTTTTAAAATCATACGTCCTTGGGGCTAAACCCATGGCTTCTTAATCTCTTGGTTACGCTTGTGTGCTAACACGCCTTGCGGCTTATTTTACTCAGGAGACCAATACAGTCGTGCCCTGCTTTACGATTGCCCTGCATTATGACGAAATTGAAATTGCAAAATGATGGTCTAAACAGGGGAATTTCGTTTTGCAATGATCGGTTCCCTGCGTCGGGAACCGATTCTTCGCAAAACAACGATTTTCCTACAGCTGATCGGTAGTTTCAAACTGGCCACCGGGTAAATAAAATGGCTCCCCGCTGTTTTCTGGGACGGATTCCTCGCCAGACAGCCACCGAAAATGGCTGCCCTATGGAGGATCTTCACTGGACTGTGAGTTTTTAGCCCATTGGAACGCATTAAACGTGTTTTAATGCGTTTCAATGGGATTTTTATTTTTGCATTACGACGTTTTCGTTCTACAGCAATTTCACTGGAACGAATTAACGTCATAATGCGAGGCACCACTGTATCCTAATCCTGGTGGCGTTCTCCTAGATCAAGGACAGAGAACATGCAGTGATCCAAATGTTTCCGGACTCCAGCGCCCATCATCCCTCTACAGCCTGTCAGCAGCTCCAGTCCGGCACTTAACGGTTTCACATCTTGATTCTTGTCGAAACAAATCAGCTACCGGCTTCACCCTATCCTCTCAGTCCATGTTACTCAAAGTGGCCACAGCAAGCAAGGCTGAAAAGGCAACAACGAGGAATCGGGTCTTGGGGTGTGTGGCAGCTCCCAACCTGTGCAATAAGTTACCACTTGAGATACACCAGGCTCCTTCCTGCCTTCTGGCCAGGAAATTAGTAAAAGTCAAATTATTCAGTGCAGCCTTCAACAACTGATTCTCTTCGATGCTGTTCATTTTAACATTCATTTTAATTTTCCTTCTCTTGGCCTGAATGTTAGTCCTGTACTTGCAAATCGCCATGTGACTGCGTGTACAGGTGTACAGTGGTGCCTCGCAAGACAAATTTGTACTTGCGAATCGCCATGTGACTGCGTGTACAGTGGTGCCTCGCAAGACAAATTTAATTCGTTCCGCGGTTAATGTCGTCTTGCGAAAAATTCGTCTTGCAAAACGCGTTTTCCCATAGGATGCATTGAAACCTAATCAATGTGTTCCTATGGGCAAAAAAAGTCAGAACAAAGTCAAATTTGGTTTACAAAGGGTTTATTAAGTGCGAATCGCCATGTGACTGCGTGTACAGTGGTGCCTCGCAAGACAAATTTAATTCGTTCCGCGGTTAATGTCGTCTTGCGAAAAATTCGTCTTGCAAAACGCGTTTTCCCATAGGATGCATTGAAACCTAATCAATGTGTTCCTATGGGCAAAAAAAGTCAGAACAAAGTCAAATTTGGTTTACAAAGGGTTTATTAAGTGCTCTTTAAAGCCATACATATTGTGCAGATGATTTCAAAAATTTCAATCAAAAAACATTTAACTTTTTAAACATCATAGAAAAACATTTAGAAATCAGCAAACATGAGGCAGGAACAAAAAAAAACGGATTGCGTTCGGCTTGCGAAGCAGGATCATAAGAACATTCGGCTTGCGAGTCATCAACCCCATTGCCAAAACCATTCGTCTTGTGAGTTTTTTTGTCCTGGTAGGCATTTGTCTTGCGAGGCACTGCTGTATTTTGTTATATGGGGGTTTTAAGTTTTAACTTGTAAACCAACCAGAGCAGTGCTTCCACTAAGGTGGAAGTATATAAATCAAATAGATAAACTCTGGGAAGGCCATGTGCTCCACCCTCGTGTAGAGTTTTTACCCTGCCAGTGAAAAGCTGAGGAAAGAGGGAGAGAAAGAGTTTCAACCCATTTATCATGCAGGTACCATACCTACTGCTCCATGGCAGGTCTTTCTCAGCAGGTCAGATGCCGTTTCCCCTACTCGCATTGAGCCTCTTATAGCAGGACAAAATACAAGTTCAAGATAGGCGTTAAGAGGTTCTATGTGCGTAGGAGTTTACTAAATCATCTCCCCAGTTCCCGGATGGAGGAATCGGGTTTCCTGTATCATCCCCTCTCCTGGCCAAGCGGAGACATGTTGGCTTCAAAGATAGGCCAAATGGGGTGGGCTGGGTAGGGGTGTACCTGGCTTGCACCTCTTTGTTTGAAGAACTGGGGTGCAACATCCAGTTGACAGCTGCCTCGGCTGTCACTTTTAAACTACAACTCTACTTCTGCCTGCATCTTTCCTGACTTAGATCTAAGAAAGGCGTTCCTGGCCAAATCTGTCTTGCCAAGAACTTTTCGACTTTGGATCTAAAAGTAGCTTTTTTTTGGCAAAACCCATCTTGGCCTTAATTTTTGGAATTTAAGTTCTTCCACACTGGTACGAGCCTGACAAAGTGGCCTCGGTCCACGAAAGCTTACGTATTGCATGACGATTTTTTTTTTACTGGTCTGTAAAGGGTTCTCCTGGTGGTTGTTGTGGGTTTTTCGGATTCTTTGGCCGTGTTCTGAAGGTTGTTCTTCCTAACATTTTGCCAGTCTCTGTGGCCGGCATCTTCAGAGGACAGCACTCTGTGCTCTGGTGTAGTTGGCTTGGGAGTGGAGTATTTATAAACAACCTTCAGAACACGGCCAAAGAGCCCGAAAGGACGTTAGGAAGAACAACCTTCAGAACATGGCCAAAGAGCCCGAAAAACCCACAACAACCATTAGATCCCGGCCGCGAAAGCCTTCGCAAATACATGGATCTCCTGGTCTTGCCTTTTATTTTGTATTGGCCACACGACTCTCCTTTATTTTATAGCAAGACAGTATTCTTGCACTTTACCTGGAAGATCTTAGCGCGCAGAAATAAAACAGCTGTGATGGGCTTCAGGGTAGAGTTATTTGTTGCTCCATGACAGCAGGATTCACAGTTTGAAGCTGAATAATTTTTTTTTAAAGGCATTCTTGTTGGGCACGGCTAGCCTTAAATCATAAATGAGGTGTTAAAAAATAATTGTGCTGTGGGGTGTCATGGTGTTTTGTGGCGTATTGTGGCTGTTCAAATGCAGGACAGTTGTTTTGTCTGTCTGGTTGCCGATTCTCAGCTGAATGAGCCAGCTGGAAATTTGAGAACCGTAGAATGTTGAAAGTGGGTTGCCACACACAGTTTGAAGCTGAATAATTTTTTTAAAAAAAGGCATTCTTGTTCGGCACGGCTAGCCTTAAATCATAAATGAGGAAACTCAAGTTCTCTGGAGCCACTTTGAGAAAGCACTCCTAATTTTCCTCTCTTGTGCAGTACCTAAAATTAAAGAATTTTGAAGAGGAAGTCAGAGCTCACCGTGACCTTGACGGGTTTCTGGCGAGAGCCAGTATCATCCTGGATGAGACGGCAACCTCTCTGGATGACGTCCTGCGGGAGATGTTGAAACACTTTGCGGAAGATTCAGACAACGCAGAGCCCAGCTGCAACTTTGACAAAATCATGAGCACTTTATTCACTGATTCGGGGACTCCCCGAGAAGGGAATGGTAAGAGAAGGGTCCGTTCTTCCCGTTAACGTCTTGACGTGGGAGCTGGAAAGCTTGCGAGACACGGCGTTTCTGTAAAATGACTGTTACTTCTTAGTGAACAAGCGCTTTCCTGAGTGTAAAATAACACTGCAGGGTCCAGAGCTTGGAAAAGTTACTTTTCCAGATGACCTCATCCACCGTTCTGGGAGTTGTAACTTAAGGAATTTACTTTCCCAAGCTGCTCAAGAGTCTTCAGGCCGCTGTCCACTGCTGAGTCCTCATCTGTGTAAGATTCTTGAGGGAGCCAGAAACATAACTTGTGATGGACAAAGGATGGGACTGGAATCACGTGGATCTCCAAGGATCTTTTGGGATCTTTTCAGTCATCTGTGCTCCCGGAGCAAAAAAAAAAAATGGGTAGCCCAGATCCACCCAAGCTATTTTTCTCAGCATAAACCCGTTCAAAGTTTTAAGAAAACTGAAACAAAAATAAAATAAAAATATAGGTCTTTGGGATCTTTTCAGTCCCCTGTGCTCCCGGAGCAAAAAAAAATTAAAATAGGGTAACCCAGATCCACCCAAGCTATTTTTCTCAGCATAAACCCTTTCAGAGTTTTTAGAAAACTGAAACAAAAATAAAATAAAAACACAGATTAGTGAATGGTTATAGGTGGTTCTTGAGATGTTTGTCCCAGTTTCTGGATTATTTTAACCAAAAGTCTATCTACGGCTGATTCCTGTCTTCTTGTCTTACCCCTCTGATTCATGTGGAGCCACAAGTATCAGTCGGTCCAGAAGGGGGAAAGGAACAACGTTCAAACAGAGCCACCCATTTTGTCAAATTTTCAACAGGTTCTTGAGGACTGTTTTACTTAAAGGCTTCTCCCGACCCTTTTCTGGTAACAAGGGTAGGGAGAAGCCTGAAGGTTGAAGACACGGTTTGGTTCCTTGGTTCAGAAAGTCGCTCCCTAAGAATGATCCTTGACCCCTTGCTTCTGATGGTATCTCTCCAGTGACTGCTTCTCACAGCCCAGCCTAGTAGCCGAACTTACGAAGGTTCACTACAACTCCCATGCTGTCGCTAGCATGATGGGATTTGTAGTCCATCTCAGGAAGTTCCATAGTTGGGAAATGCTGCTTTGAAGATAAACTTTTTAAGAAGCTAGTCTTGCTTTACAATCCAGTGGCCAGAATCTTACCGGGTGTTTTACTCATGCACGAAAGCAATTAGGCAAGTTATCGCAGTTAATTGCCGCAGTGCTAGCCACGCGTCGATGGCATACCTGACCGTGTGCCCAATGGCAGTCTTGGCATGCGCTTGGCGTCTTGGCAATTAGCAGCAGTAGCTTTTTGGATTCGTCTTGCACAGATGTAAATACAGTGGTGCCTCGCACAACGGGTGCCTCATAGAGCGATGAATTCGCTCTACGAGGCCGGTTTTGCGATCGCAAATGCAATCGCAAAACAGTGCCTGCATAGGGCGGAAATTGCAGAGCGAAGGTCAGTAAGTGGTTCGCTTACCGACCTTCGCTTTGCGACCCGCCGATCAGCTGTTCGGCGGCTACAAAATGGCCACCGGAAGCCCTTGGGAAATGCTGCTTTGAAGATAAACTTTTTAAGAAGCTAGTCTTGTTTTACAATCCAATGGCCAGAATCTTACCGGATGTTTTACTCATGCACGAAAGCAATTAGGCAAGTTATCGCAGTTAATTGACGCAGTGCTAGCCACGCGTCGATGGCATACCTGACCATGTGCCCAATGGCAGTCTTGGCATGCGCCTGGCATCTTGGCAATTAGCAGCAGTAGCTTTTTGGATTCATCTTGCACAGATGTAAATATTCAGTAGGATTTTGGCCGTTGCGTGCTTAATCTCCTCATGTTGCTTAACCCGTTGCAGCTTCCTACTGTTGATGCTTGCTTGCGACTTTGATCCAAGCCAAACTTTCCGATCCCAGCTGGGCACCAAGTCCTAGAATGCTCAACCTGGATTTAAATAATGCAATCTGAAGCAAGCCGTGACTTTCACACAGCAAGGGTTAATCCGGAACGGATTAACCTCACTATGCGAGGCACCACTGTATTCAGTAGGATTTTGGCCATTGGGTGCTTAATCTCCCCATGTTGCTTAACCCATTGCAGCTTCCTACTGTTGATGCTTGCTTGCGACTTTGATCCAAGCCAAACTTTCCGATCCCAGCTGGGCACCAAGTCCTAGAATGCTCAACCTGGATTTAAATAATGCAATCTGAAGCAAGCCGTGAGAATAACGAGAGGCGTGTCCCTCCAAAGAACCTTTCCTAACCCATCTTTGGCACTCTTAACCATTTCTCTTCCTCCTTCCTCTTTGGAAAGTAAGGAGAAATAGCAACACATCATAGCAGCCATTTTAAAAAATCCTGTCACCTTCTGTGCTGGTCATAAGCTGAGATAATAGAAGGGGAACCTTTCTTTTTAGAAAAAAATAATAGTTTTCAGGAGAACTCAATGTCAGCAAAGGGATAGCGTCACATCTGATCATTTTTGCATACAATTGAAGTAACCCCCCCTTTTTTCCCTTCTTTCGACAGTTCACCTCTTGTCCGATACAATTCAGGGTGTCACAGCAACGGTCACCGGGGTACAATATCAACAGTCTTGGCTTTGTATCATGTAAGTACACATTGTTTTTGATATTTCACTCCCAGCTTTGTTGAGTCTGTTTGTTGGGACTGTACTGTGTTTTTTTTTGGGGGGGAGGGTGTTAATTCCTTGGTGCAAGAGAAGATTTTCCAAAGTGGGGTGACGGTGAAGGAACAGGTTTACAATAGGGCACAACTATTTATCAGCTCCAATCGGCATTTTTGCGAATAGGTGTCAGCATTGTGTTACAATATATTCATGCATCAGCCCACTAAGAAACTGTAATTTCTGCATCAGCCCACTAAGAAATCCGGTTTTCCAGAGGCTGTTGTTTTCAGAAACACAGTCTCTCTCCCAAAGTAGCTCTTTGCTGTCATGATTGATTCCTGACATACCCAAGTCAGGCCTGGAAGATCTATCAGTAACTTTGGAGACCCCCAGCTGGTCAGTCTAATTCAACCTGGTACTTTCCAGATGTGTCAGACTCTGCTGGCTGGGGGATTAAAGTAGTTCCAGTCAAACACAGCTGGAAAGAACCAAGTCATAGAGAATTTACATAGATCAGAGGTTCTCAGTTGTGGATGGACACAGTTAGCTTAGGTGGGATAAATTCTCATTGCTGGCTTTCATTATAATTGTGGTTATTTGCTATCAAGTCTCATCCGACTTAGGATGCCTCTGATAGGGTTTTCAAGATAAGAGATATTTAGGAAATGGTTTTATCAGTGCAACACACACACACCCCAGTGTGTTTCCTGTGCCGAGGGAGGATTTGAACCCAGGTCTCCAGAGCCCACCACTCCATCCAGTACACTGTATAGGACCTAAATCTTATTGCAGAAAACCCAGTGCAACACACACACACACCAGTGTGTTTCCTGTGCCAAGGGAGGATTTGAACCCAGTTCTCCAGAGCCCACCACTCCATCCAGTATAGGACCTAAATCTTATTGCAGAAAACAACATGTAAGGCAATGGTACAAGTGTTCTTTGCTTCCCCCAGGCTGGACATCACACACTGAATTATGCTGTTAGTCACACACGGTGAGAGAAAGGATTTGATCCATGGCGGACAGCCTGAGTAATACCTCCCACTGTTTGTGTGATTGCCCGTACATGAGTGTGCTTAGCAGATAGAAGTCTCTAAGTGTGATGCCTCATCTTCCACTAACTCTTATCTGTGATGGATTACATGGCTTTTGATCGCAGGTGATAGTCATGTATAAAGATGGCCAAGCAGTTTGTGCCGATTCGGCAGATGGCCGAACACGTATTCTGCAGTTCCGCACCCCGCTGTGTCCAGTGGGTGCCCACTCAGAAGCGGCATCCAAGTTTCCCTGCCCCATGTCCTCCAGTCCGTGCCTCTGAATGGACACCAACCAGAGGGGTGGGGTGTGGAACCACGGAATACCTGCTTGGCCGTCCAACAAACCTACTGAACCCTCAGTTTGTGCCCAGCTCTAAGCACTTGAGATATTCAGCATTTCTTCTCCTCCGCTCTTTTCCGTGCTCACCAACTTCCTGTTTGCAATAAACAGAGTAGTAGGGTGTCTTATAAGCAAACCATTGGCTTTCTCAGAAAAAAAGGAGAATTCTTGAGTCTGTCATGGTGGGAGTCCGTTAGTCCTTCAAAAGATCAGTGTAAGAGAGGTTTATTTGCTTGTTTGAGTTATATCCAAACTTTCCGCTTAAAACTGGAACCCATCTGCAGCTCAGAAGAGAAAAGAATGGCCACCAATGCAGACGGTGTTGAACTAGAGGATCTGATGGTCTGGATTTAATATAAAGCAACTTCTTCTGTTGCTGGTTTTGGTAATTTCCTTATAAGTAAACATGAGATTCCTTTCAAAAATCGGTTGCTTTCATACATGGTTAAGTCAAGGAGTTCAGGAGCCAGGATATAACAAACTCAGAGCTTAGAAGTAAATACTTACAAGTAACAAATTACTTGTAATTCTTATAGATTACTAATAATTAATTGCTTTTTACAGTAACTAAGGGAATACTTTTATATTTTGCATTCATTACATGAATCACATGATCTTAGTTACCTTACATGAATAAATTTAGGGGGAATAAAGTCTTTCTGCAAAGGAACTGTATCTGTTTTGGTTATTCTGTAGATGCCTCAGGTGGCCCCACTATCTGGGTATGTTTCCCACCAAAGACCAGCAGCCTGCAGTATTTTGATTTTTTTTAAAATTAACTGTTAATTGATTTTTGAATATCAAGTAATTTGTTTTCCTCGTTTAATTTTAAGAGTTTGAGATTAACTTTAAAATTAGCCACTAAAATGGCAATTGACATCTAGAGGGGATTAGAACCAATTTCCCTTTAAACTAATTTTGTCTCTTCTGAACACAACCAGCTATGTACAAGAAGACAATTACAGTATTGATCATGTGTACAAAGCCACTTTGGACAAATTTGATTGTGAAAGAATATGAGAAACAGTAAGCCTAGATGTACTGTTTTTTGTGGGTTTCGTACGTGGAGTGCTTGCTTTTCTTAGTGGAATTGGTATCTTGGGGTTTAATCAATTCATTAAGCAAATGTGTTTCCATCCTAAATATTTTCCCAGTGTGAAAATGACACAGACTCTGCAAATATCTTTTATTTAAGCATTTTCTTTTGCCCACAATGCGTTCTCAACTTCCAAGCTGTCCTAGGGGTAGGTCTTGGGTGAAAAGAATACAGTGGTGCCCCGCATAGCGACGTTAATCTGTTCCGGATTAATCGTCGCTATGTGGAAACATTGTTAAACGGAACGGAAAAACCCATAGGAATGCATTAAAGTTCATTTAATGCGTTCCTATGGGGCCCAAACTCACCGTTCAGCGAAGTTCCTCCATAGCGCCGCCATTTTCGTGCCCTCGGTAAGCAAGGAAACTGCGCGAAAATGGTTGCGGTGGCCATTTTGGACACCCGGCGGCCATTTTGGAACTGCCGATCAGCTGTTTTAGGAACATCGCAATGCGAAGATCGGTAAGCGAAATGCTTACCGATCATCGCAATGTGATGTTTTGCCCATTAAAACATCGCAATCCGATCGCATTAGCGATCTAAAAAAATAGATCGCTATGCGGATTCGTCGTTAAACGGTGCGCTCGTTATGCGAGGCACCACTGTAACATTTTCTTCTGCAGTGAGGACAAACGAGGTATCTTCGAGGTTGGCAACCTTGAGTCCCAGGATCTTCTTGGGCTACAACTCCAAGAAATCCTGGCCAATACGAGCTAGCGGTGAAGGCTTCTGGGAGTTATAATCCAAGAAAGTAGCTTTCCTAAGCTGCTGAAAGGACTCCTTTGATAGAATGCATGACCCAAGTGATGGTATTCTTTCCACAGATCCTGTTGGTTCCATGGGGAATTTTCTCCAACCTTGAGTCCCAGGATCTCCTTGGGCTACAACTCCAAGGAATCCTGGCCAATACGAGCTAGCGGTGAAGGCTTCTGGGAGTTATAATCCAAGAAAGTAGCTTTCCTAAGCTGCTGAAAGGACTCCTTTGATAGAATGCATGACCCAAGTGATGGTATTCTTTCCACAGATCCTGTTGGTTCCATGGGGAATTTTCTCCCTTACCTCCTGTGGTTCCACCCAATTTAATAAGTATGGGTACGTTTGTGTTTTTTGCTGATGGCTTGGTTGATCCGTGGATGGACTAATTGAAAGAGAGACTGCGATGAAGCTGGTGGGCTGTTATTTTATTCTTGAATTAAGAGAAGCTTTTAATAGCTTAGCCAACTGGGGGACAAACTATAATGGTGTCTTTAAAACCCATAAATGCAGGGTGTGAAAGGCGAAATCATTAAAACGCTTGGAATGGGTCAGCTGAAAGAAAAATCTGCTCCCTCTTTTTTAAGGGCCGAGGAGCAGGAGGAGAAAGTTCCGTGTAGGTTTTCCAGCCGTGGGTGTTCTGCAACCCATCATCCCTTTCAGGAGCAGCACTGCTGAGCAAGCTCTGATGTGCTACAAGGAGAAGGGTGTGCATCTATCATCTCCGTTGTCAACAAAGAGGGGATTAAATCTGCATGAAGCCAGTGCTGTACACAGCGGGAGAGAATTGTGTTCGTGGCTTAGAAAAGGAAAAGGGGGGGGGTCTTCTGTCATGGCGTAAAAAACTAAAGCTACCCAGAAAAAAAACATTTAATATTTTGCATACATTCTCGCTCCCTCCTTTTCAAAGACACAAAAATGCCCCTAAGAGCCTTTCTCCCCCTCCCTTACTCCGCCTGCGAAATGCTGCAGCGAACACTTGATTTTTTTTTTTAACAAAGCAGTCTCGATGATATCTTTGGAAACGGACTGGCCAGCATACGGCTAGCGTGTTCTTGCTTTCAGATATGCACACCCTCTCCGAAATGTGCTGAGTTCTTGGGTGACCATCGCAAGGATGAGGGCCCGACCAAGCCTTGAAACCCGTCAAAAGCCTAGCAGAATTATCTCATTCGGTTGGTTTGTTTCCCCCAAATGGCTGGTGCAACTTCAGCTGGAACATTCTCTCTGTCGGTTCTGACAATTGCTTTTTCCTTATGCCATCCTGTCACAAATTGGTACCCTCCCTGTGTTTTGAACTACAGTACCCATCGGTCCTTGGGCAAAGTGACCAACAGCGATAGTGAGTGCTTGGATTTCAATAGGGTAACAAACCAAAGTGAACTGCTCATGTATTTCAGGTCAGGGATAGTGAGCTTCTGAGGTTAGCTCATGCAACACCCCTGGGGCTTCAGGGGAGGCATCTCCCTTCCTCAAAGCCCCCTCCCAGATGGTATATGGGGTGGAATACACCTCATCCCACCCCAAGAAATCAGGCTGGGAACCAGCGTGAGCCTTGAGCTGTTCTTCCCCAGAGGCAGCCGGCTGCTTCAGATAAGGAGCAAACATCTGCCCACGCTTGCCTCCTGCTGATGCAGCCAAGAAACATCAGTCCGAGCTCATGAGGGATTTGCTTTACACTTAAGTAAGTGGCAGTTTCACATGCCAACCAAGTCTTTCTCCATCGGAGGGACAGAAAGCAGCAATGAAGCTGC